ACTTATCTTGTTTTGGGTCTAACTCTGGGAATGATTTGCATGTAGGGTCTGCAGTTTTAAATTATTGACTGGCTTTGTAAAGGCAAAAAGTGTGTTTGCCTAGGCAAGCAGTCATATTTTAGAAAGAAGCAATGATTTTCAAAGAACCATATTTGCAAATTGTTGAGGTCATTGTTGAATTTAATATTCTCTTTCTGTCTACTCATATCTACCCCGGTGCACACACAGTCACGTGGAAATTGTCACATGATGGAATAAATATGGGAAAATTAGATTTTAGAGGATTCAAAATTTCATAAAATAAACTTAGGTAATATGAAATCACTTGAAAGAAGTACACATATTAGGTGTCTAATTACAAATCAAGGGAGAAAATGCATATTTTTGGATAAAGAGATAAAAAAAATGCCATAGATACTTATTGCAAGGAGTAGAAATATAAGTGATAGAACTGTGGGGGACCAGCGACAGCTGAAAAGATAAGAAATATGAAATATAAATGAGCTTTATTTTGAGAATGCGGGGAGAGACACCCCCGATCCCCTGGGGTGCAGCATCCCCCCCATCGGCAATCTCTCCATGGAACACCTGGAGTGGGGGCATATAAGTAGCCTAGGTTTGGGGTGGAACCTAAGGGGGCATTAGGAATGCACAGGTAGCCCACTGGTCTTTGTTTGGCGCCATAGGTAAATTCCTAGGAGATAGGAGCTCCTTGGTTCCACCTCTAAGGCTTCACGGGCTACAGTGTCCTGTCTGGGCCAAAACTCTTTCAAATAAGAGTAGCTACAAATAATTATAGAGCTGAGACCTTTAAGGACCTTTAAGGTCATGTCTTCTGACCCTTGCATTTTTAGAGGTGACTTAACTGTGTGACTCCTGGCAGAGTGATTTGTCCCTATGAGTTATTACCTTGTAGGGATACTAGAACCAGCATCCACCACCTTTGACTCCCATTCCCATGCAAAGTCATGAGCATGAGAGGAATATCCAAGAATAATGACAGTGGGAATCCACAAAAAGGAGTCCTCCATATAGAATAAGAATGGAGTATAAGAAAACAGATTGATTCTGTGGAAGGGTAATTAGAAAGAGTGAAAGACAGACATAAGAAAGAGGGCAAAGTGAAAAGAAAATAAAACAATTAATTGAAGAACAAAATAAATGAGGGAAGCCAACAGTGAAAGATAATAATCAGGAATGAAATGTCATAAAAGAATTCAAGAGCCTAATAAATGATGAACTATTTCATGTCCACTTTGTCAAAAGTAGATCTTTCTAGAATTGCCTCAGTAATAAAATAGTTCATAATGAAATAGTATGAAAGTGCATTTAAGACAAGAAGAAAGACAGTGGACATCTTATGACAAGTCCACAAAAAGGAGTCCTTCATGTAGAATAAGAATGGGGAACATCACATTAAGTTTAGACTCATGGTACCTCCATCGTTGAGTCACTCCCAAAGTCCCTTTGAAGAGGAATAAACCTAAAGTGATAAAAACACTAAATTCCCAGGTGTCTTACTCATTGCTGACTTTTTCATTACTGAAGCACAATGCCTGGTACCTGCAACTTAAAAGAAAGGATATTTTGCTCTCAGTTTGTAGAGGTTTCAGTCCATAGTCGGCTGACTCCAAGACCAGGTGGCATGGAAGAGGGGTATGACAGAAGAGAGCTCAGAGCATGGCAGACAGGAAGTAGGGAGAGACCAAGGGAGAAGGGAGGGAGATAGGCCACATGTCCAGTGACCCAGTCACCAGGTTTTACCTCCCAACATGACATTAATTTTAGACTCATCATACCTCCATAGTCAAATCACTCCCAAAGCCTCAACTATGGCTTCATGAGCTTTTGGGGAAACATCTAGATATAAACCACAATACGATCCTCTAAAGTGTTAACAGGAAATAGTGACACAAAGATACATGTTTCTATATCAAAACCATTGATATATAAAGTCAGAGACACATTGGGAAAGATAAAGTTAGCTATTCCAGCAAATGACTTTGGCAAACCTGGCTAATAAAACTACAAAGGGATGGAGAATTCCAAACTTTGTGAACAAATCACAGTGTATCATTTCAAAGGAGAGATAGTAAATACAACTGATTGAGTTTATTTCCTTATCTTTTGTACTCCCTTAAGAACCTAAACCTAAACATTACAATTACACTATCAGTTTACAGCCTAATTAGCGTGTAAAAATATTAACTTTCGCAGTTCATTTGATAAGCCAAAGATCCCTCTTGTTTCTTGGAATAGTAGGATCTATTGTTAATCTATGTTTAACAGAAAATAAATATGATATAATGGTAAGGCCAATGTTATAGAAAAATGAATTTAACATGTAGTTAGTACACCAAATGTATGTATCTACAAAATCAATTCACAGTCAATACACTGTCCATGAATTCCATATATACCGTCAACAATGTTAGAACACAATCACATTTGTACCTAATACATACATTTTTTTCTTCTGATTTATTCCCTAAACAAAGTAACAGTGATGTATATAGCATTTACATTATGAGTTACATATATATATATTACATTATAAGAGTTATAAATATATATATATAATCTAATGATGAGCTAAAGTATGCAAATATGCAAAATGATGTGTATAGATTCTATGCAAATACTATGCTATTTTATATAAGGGAATGGAAAATTTGATTTCAGTATCTATAATGAGGGGAGGGATGACCTGCAACCAGTCCCCAGTGTTACTGACTGCTCACTGAGGACATAGTTTTTGAAATCAAACAGACATGGACTTGGTCCTCAGTTTAGCTTCTCACTAGTTACTTAACAGTCCTCTCCTTTTTTCTGTCTTCTCTCTGTGTACTTTCCCTCCTTTCATTCATTCAAAAACACCACTAGAGCATTTTCCATGTGCTGGGTTGGGGTTCCAAATACATTCTGAGGGGAAACATGAGACATTTATAGCAAACACATTTGTCATGTATTTCCATGAGCACAGGTGCAGATGCAGAAATGAGCTGGACTTGGACCAATTCCTCATAAACTAACAATACATAATGAAAGATGAGACTTAAGGACCAACTGATGTCAGATTGCCAAGAGCCCTGGGTGCCAGGACAAGCAGTTTCAGATTAGGACTAACAATTAAAACTCAAGTGACAATTAAAACTAGAGTGCCAGTCCAGGATTGGACTAAAACGGGGGAAAATTTCAAGAAGGATAGATTGCTAAACACTTCAAAGAAAAGAAAAGGACAGCTCTAACTGTCAGACATTGACCTTTGGGAGGGGTGAGACTAGAAACCAGTGCTGGAATAAAAAGGGAATTGGGAATTAAAAAGGGCTGGGGATTTAGCTCAGCGGCATAAGCGCCTGCCTTGCAAGCAGGCAGTCATGAGTTCGATCCCTGGTACCGATAAAAAGGAAAAAAGAGCAAAAAAAAAAAAAAAACAAACAAACAAAAAAAAATCTGGCCCCCGGGGTCCCTAGAGTCCCAGGGGAAGATTAAACAGGATGGCAAGAATATAGTGTGGTAGGAGCTGAGGAGGCTGCCCGATCAAAGGCAGACACAGTGTCCATAAACTGAACAATTTCGGTGCATACATGAACGCAAAGGCCAGCGAAGGTTCCAGGGTGAGGAAATACAAAAGGAGAGAGAAGTGAAAGCCCAGGTAGCAGAGGAAGCTCGCAGAGTTGGGGTGGCACTCCTTCCTCTGAGTCTGAAGGGCATGACCCCACAGCGAGATTCCCTTTGTACCAGAAGCAGCCAAGGTGGAAGGTTATCCTTACTCGGGGAGCACTTATTAGATAGCAGAGTGCCAGCATCCAGGCACAGAAAAGACCAAGGGACCGAAGTTGCAGAAAGACAAACATGAAAGAGTAGAGCCCATCAATAGTTCCAGTGGAAGCATCAAACCATCCTGATTCGCACCCTGGAAGCCTTTCTGCTGCTTCTTCTGTGTTGTGTGGAGCAAAGTGGGGCAGCGGTGCAAATGTTCAAAGGCTGACAAACCCTTTGATCCCCACCTCTCCTTCAGAAGCAATGACAGGGAATGGTGGGGACTGCAGGCCCCCCTCAAAGACTATCATTTGTGCTACCCATGACCAAATAAAGAGAAAATCGGAGGTTAAAATGAATGGGTGTGTAGGTAGAGATAGAGGCATCCTAGAAGTTAGTAGTTGGAGCACAGGGTCACTAGTTCTGTGCAGAGATGATTTGTCTATATGCAAAAGGATCATTTCTAGAAATCTTGCTGCCAAACCACTTCCAAACTTGAGTACGCTTTCTCTCTACTCTTCTACCTTTAAACTGTAAAGGGGAAGATAAAGGGCTCCTGAGGGTCTCAGCTCTGCCTCTATCTCTATTTGAGGTTTTGGTTGGGAGAAACTGGGCAGAGGGCTTCCCTGGTCACAATGCCCTCCTGCAGGACCAAGCTAGCAGGGTCTGCAGCTTGGAGCTTGCACTCCAAGTGTAGCATGCAGGGAGCACCAAAGGCTACAGCTGTGTGGCCTCCCATCCCCAGACCAGAGGATCCCCTGAATAAAGAGACCTTAGCGTGCACCTGACTCGCAAATGAGTGCTTTGGAGGGAGAGGGCACAGTGCTGAGTGGGCATCTTTGCTGGGTGTCTTCCTTTTCGCATTAGGCTGTCTGTGCCAACAGCTGAAGTCCGGCTGCGGGCAGGAGGCAGGTGTCCTCCGCAGCCCTGACCCCTGGATGCCGTGCTGGGAGAGGGGTTAGGGGAGCCCCAGACACAAGCCAGGGACAGCCTGGTCTTTGCTCCAGTCCACAAATCCTTAACGGGTTTTCTTTCTCTCCCTTCACCCTTTTCTCTCCTCTGCTCCCTTTCTTTCTCTCTCCCTCCTTTTTCCCTTTTCCCTTTCCCTCTCTTCCCCCTCCCTCCCGTCCCCTTTCCCTTCCTCTCCCATCCCCCTGCCCATGTGCGAGCCTCTTCCTTCCCCTCCTCCCCTTTCCGCCGGCCTCCCTCCCTCTCCCTGCCTCTGCTCCTGCTCTCAGCTCGCCGGGCGACCCTGCTCCTGCCTCCCACATTAATGGCGGCATCTTCGGAGGATGACATAGACCGGCGGCCCATCCGGAGAGTGCGCTCCAAGAGCGACACGCCGTACCTCGCCGAGGCCAGGATCTCCTTCAACCTGGGGGCAGGTAAGGACGGCCGTGCCGGCTCGCCTCCGGGCCACCTGCTCCCTCCTGCCCCGCTGCTCGGCGGCTCAGCCCCCGCCCCTCCCGGTGCCCTCCCCAGATGCCCTCCGCCCCTGCCCACCGGCCGGGCGCTGCTCGCCGCTCTTTGTGTGGAGGGCGTGTGCGCGCGCGTGTGTGCATGTGTGTGTGTGCGCGCTGCGGGTGGGGGAGGGTGGTGCGTGGAGCCCTGCACCGGCTCAGGAGTCACACGCGGGCTTTCCCCTTCCAGGAAGAAAAGAAAGTGTTATCCGTGCTAACAATGATCCCGGGAAGCTGCCGGAGCCCGGTGCGCCTGCTGTGGGCGGAGGGTCTGGTGGGGGGAGGCTGGCTGGCCCGGCTGCTACCGGGTGGAACTTGTTGGTGACAGCCAGACTCTGGTGGATTTTGACGGGTGAATGCCACCGGCTGGCCGCGGTGCTGGACTGGAGAGAGGGGCGGGGCCGGCTGCCGGGAACTGACCTTTCCCGGGCTCCAAGCAGTTGGAGAGCAGCCGGTGGTGCTTGTCCTATAACGCGTGGTCTATGGGACCCAGGTTGGGCGACTCGGTGCTATCCTTAGAACTAGTGCTCAGAGTGACCCAGGAAAAATTGAGTGAAAAGAAAACTGAGGGAAAGGAGAAAAGAGAGAGGAGAGGGATGAGGGAGACAGAAGGGAGAGAAGAAAGGAAGGAAGAGGAAAAGACAGAGAGAAAGACAGGAAAGGACAACAGAAGAAAGACTGAGCTGTGCCTCAGCCGGGTCCACTTTCAGTTTCCTGATGAGAAATGCTGGAGTCTGCTAATCCCACTGCGGCTGCTGCTCCAAACTCACTTCTGATGAAGTTATGCTGTTCACCACTGCATTCACAGGGCTGCCTAGCTCAGTGACCACTAAAGCGTCCACTCTGGCTTGTGTCCTTCCCCCCAGGGCATCTCATTATTCTAGCCATTGTGGTGCAATGCAAGGACTCTTAGCTGCAGACTTACTTTCAAAATAAGTTTTTAAAAAGACACAATACTTTTTCCTCTAGGAAATTAAACTCTTGAAAGTGGAACTGAGTCAAATAAGTGTGTGTGTAACACACACCCACACACGTTTTGGAGCAAAGAAACTCTGCAGATGATGAGCATTTTACATCCTGGGGAGGAGGTTGGATAAAAGAGAATGTTGGGCCTGAAAGGAGCACTGACTGCTAAGAAAGCACATTTTCAAGGTTGGAAGAACAGGAGCTGAATGTGTCAGGGTAGCCGGGTGGACTGGTGCGTGATTTTCCTGTCTTAATGATTTGGGTTTTTTTTTTTTTTTTCAATCATATGCATCCCATTACTTCCAAAATACTTGCCTTTGAGTTTGGGGCTGGAGAAAAGAAAACTTCACCTGGGAAGTTTTGGTTGGCTTTTGTGGCATGTTGGAGCAGCTCAGGCTGCTCATCTCAAAACTGTGAATCAAGGATCTCCTGCTTCTATATTCCAGGTTAAATAGATGGTCACTCAAAGTCCTTCAAAGGACTGAGAAAAGCTTTTCTTAGGGCCAAGATTATTTTTGCAACCCACTGATCCTGAAAATCACCCCACTGGACCCCCTGATAACAAACTCAGCTATGATTCTTCTGTGTTTTTGGGCTTAGCACAGAAAAAAAAGGAGCTAAAGCGGCAGGTAGTAAAGGTGTTTTGTTTTTTTAACCTTGTGCTAGTACTTTTATAACAGAACAATAAAATAAAGCACAAAGGAGAGTTTCAAGTTTCAGCTACTATTCAATTACATCCAACACTGAACCCCTTTGCCAACAGATTAAACCTAGTAACTTGCAATGTTTTATTCTGCTTAAATTGCTCTGGAGTCCAGTGAAAGGATGTATTAGGACTTTTCTCCCTCTCGTCTGGCAATAAGCTGGGCAAGTATCCAGCACTTCCTGTATGTTCCTTTAAAAACCTTAAATGCAAAGAGCAAGAGAGACACCAGAGATGAAGAGAATGTGTGGAAAGGACCTTGGTGGAGTAGAAAGGACCTAGCTCTTGGGAGCTTCCTTGCAGCCTGGGAGCTGTCCTCTCTTCGTGGTGCTGAAGCAAAGAGGAGCGAGGCAGAGGCTTTGGCAGGAACATGGACGGAGGAGGGAAGGGTGCTCAGGCTCCCTAGAAAAGTCTCTACACTCTTCTGGGGAAAATGCTGGAGATGTGGACAGCAAAACTTTTCTATCCCTGCCCACCTATATTTGCTGCCTGTTTACTACTCCTCACGCCTACTGTTTCCCTGCTCAAATCAGGCGTTCTTTTGCTCTAATTTTGCACCGGCTGCTCACTCCTGGGGATTTGTTTATTTTCCAGCTGGCTTCTGGTTGCTTTCCTAACAATGTGAGATGCACTTGCAGATGTTCCTTTCCCCCTGCATTTAAAAGCAATTGTAACCCCTGATTTTAGAAAGCAAACAGCCTTGTTTATATCCTTGAACAGCAAGTTGTAATTAAACAATTAGTGCTGTTATCAGCATTGCTGAACAGAGAAGCCCCACAAACTCCCAATAAATTATATAATCTGGGCATAGTAAGACTCTCATGATAGCAATTTATAAACAACTTCGCAGCAGGGATTCCTTTGCCCTTTTTTTTCTTTCCTCTCCTGCTCCCCAAATACTCATGCATCGTTTATTCTTTCTCGAGATATTCTTTACTGTTTTAAACTACGTATGGCCCTTTGCCATACCCACTCTTTATATATAAATTCAGGTTGAACATTTCTTCAGGGAAATAGTTATACACATAATGATTTTACTTGGCTTTCATAAAACCACTTGACTACCAAGTTTCTTCCTCTAATCTGTACAGTCACTAAAGAAAGTAGACTGAGCAGCTTGAATATTAATTAAATGCTAAAACATCTCTTTAATTACACCTTACCCATGACAGTACTTAATAGCATCATTTTGGAGAGAATGCCACAGGTTGAGTAAGGGATGTATTTCTTAACCAGTAGTCCCAAGCCATCAAAGTATGGCACCACAATGTTGGTCTTTCCTCTCTACTTCCAGGTTCACCCTATACTGAAAAAGTTGAGAATGTAAACCATATCTTCTATTTGTCTGAAAGAGCCTCTTTTCTAGGTTTTAAACTTCTGTTCAGCATTTAGAAGGTACCAATATTGATTGCTGAAGACAGTAAAAATGCTGAAGGAAATTAAGTTAATGAGTTTACGGAAGGTGATCCAGACATATTAGACCTCATTTGAAACATGGGAAGTGGGTTTATTTCCTGAGAAATTCAAATGTGTTGAAAAGACATTCTGTAATAGAAGAGTATGTTCACACATTAGTAGCAAGTGTTTCCGATTATGTTCTCACTTAGTAATGAGCATCATTGACATTTAGCTTGAAAGAGCTCACCCTGTCTTATAAAGTCAATCATTCACTACATGGAAGATCTGCAGCTCATGGGGCAGTTCTTTCCTCTGCTTCAATATGTTTTATCCTGACAATACTTAGAAGAGTATTTAGTACATAGAAGGTCCTAAAACTGAAATGTTATCTGTAATTATACATTAAAGTAAATGAAAGTATTCTGGTAAGGAGCAGAATAAAACACATCTAAAATTTCTTAAAAGATTATCAAAGAAATAGTACTAATAAACATGATGGTTTAGGAGTATTTAAAGCAAAGAAACAATATCAGGCATTATTGTGAAAAATAAGTACTTTCCTAATCATAAAGAGGTGTACACTTTATTGGCATTTGGAATGGCTTTAGGTGGGAGAGATTTTCAAATGCTTGACATAGTCAACTCCAGAAAGCTCATACTCTTTGTGGATCTGAGATCTGTTTTGGTCCTCAACATTACCCAAACATAGCTGTTTCTAATTTCCTCTTGTCTCGTCTACTATGTACAGCCCAGAAGATAAAGGCAGTCCAAATTGGTTTGCTCTACCTGGGGCATAAGAACAAATTGATCAGCACTTGAAGTTAAAAGTAGTGTCTCAGAAGATGTTATTTCCTCTTTTACTGAGAAGGAAAACTCTTTATCTCTTAGTAGAATTATGAATGCCCATGATACTAAGAAGTAGCAACTCAGCACATCCTATCATCACGTAGTATTGGGAACTATCTCTGGACAAATCGGGAACGTTTTCATAGGAAACTGAGATTACTTCATCACCCCAAAGTGTGGTAATCATCCTCCTTTCCTAATTCACTCAAGAAACATAGTGTGTTCCTTGCAATGTTTTTGTTACTGATTTCAAATTGAAATTAGGATTCTATGTTACTGATTTTCAAATTGAAAGCTGGATTTTTATGTAGTACCCCGAAGTCCCCTCATGTGAGTTGCTTCTCTTTTATTGAGCAGATGAGATTCAAATGACTGAAGGCATTGCTGTGCTTCCCTCTCTATGGGCCACAGTTAAAGGCAAGCTAATCTGATAACCTGTTGTCATCTACTAAGGTAGTGCTAATAAAGATCACCCCAGATAGTATGCATAAATATAAACAAGTTACAGGAAAGTAAGTAATTAACAGTAAGAATAGGTGGGTAAATGTTGAGGTTGGCCATTTACCATGCCATTGTTTCCACAACTTACACTTTTATAAAACATGTGGAACAGAACATCTGTATTGGGTAATTAAATGTTCTTTGTATCTATGGTCTGAGCAGCATTAGTATTTTAAAACATCTAACTATTCTATTTATTATTACCTTATAACCAAACAGTAAATTATTCTTCAAGTTGACTGCACATGTCTATATAATTTAATTCCATGGGACCCCACAGAAGCATGTTTTTGTATGAAAAATATGAAGTAAAATTTCAAAGAAGTTTATTTTAATGCATCTCTTTACAATGGTCATGGGCAAGTCATATAACTTTTCTGAGTTTTATTTACTTACCCCCAATATGAGGAATATAAGTTTTAAATCTCTAAAGCCATATCCAATCTAAAAATAACTTGCACTTCTAACTTTGGCTATATTATTGAATATGAACTATACCATTGATTTTCTA